GCCGCCAGATTGGAGACAGCCCCTGAACAGACAAAATTGGTAAGTGTCACGCGAGGTAAAGGCAGGCGTTCATCTTATTAATTTCAAAAGTTAGTTCTTGCGGTCGATGCAGGAGATTTCAGAGTCCCTCTGAGGTCCCTAATTTTTTCTGACAGTTCCGAAAAGAGTACCTGACAATTCTTGCCCAGTCGTCTGGTTGAGGGACGAATTCCTTGTATTTCGGGTGCCGACCGGTCTGCGGCTGCCCGACACCGTGACCTCCTGTGTACCACGTACGTGCTCAACCAACTGAGCTAGGCCGCTTGGCCCGTGATGTTCATGATCTTATTCTCTTCCATTTTAATTTTTGCTTCTATTCTGATACATTTGTCCGTAGTCAGGCATCCCCACATGGGGAAGCAGGTGGGTGGAGAAGACAAGGGTGAGCACGTGGGTGGAGAAGACAAAGGTTCTGATACATTTGTCCGTAATCAGGCATCCGTATGTGCTCAACCAACTCAGCTAGGCCGCTTGACCCCTCATACTATCTGAATGGGCATGCACTCACGTTAGTGTGGTCTGGTCCCTGCTTGGTGGGGAATACGGGATATATTGACTGTGAAACCACCAGAATGTAGGACAAAAAAAAAGAAAAGCAGAACCGTCATGGAGATGAAGCAGAGCAATGAACAGGCCCTAACATACAACTGTCTCATGAACTTCCTCGCAAAACAAATTCTCTTTTGGAGAACAGAAAGCCCTTAAGCCACCTCTACCTCCGAGCCTCTTTTGCCGAGGTGGAGCAGAACTGCGTGCGAAGCTTTGTCTGAATCGCCAGCGCAGCCTTTTTCGTTTTGTCTTGGCTGGCGCCCCCAGCTTTTTTGGTCGGGTGGTGCCTGGCCTCTGCTGGCCCCTGAAGAATGCGGTATAGGTGTGACGAGGCAGCGGAAGAGCAGCGAGGCTGGGAGAGGGAGAGTGCGAACACACACACACGCTCCCTCAACTAGACGCAGACTCAACATGACTCGACGGACGCATACACGAAGTGGCAAAGTTGCAAAGTCGCAGTCTTGAATTCCCGAACGCAATGTCACAACAAAGTCACACTGAACACAAGCACTGAGGCTGAAAACTGGTTGCCCGTACTGGGCTTGAGTCCATACATAAGTACCAGACTCAAGTATGGTCCTGAGGGCACAAGTAAAAATCCCTCAGGGCCAGAACTGAAAATCGAAAGTCTGAGAGTGGGCGCCAGAATGCCGGATGCCGCCAAGTGTCCGAAATCTGAAAGTCCAAAAAGGAGGAGTTTTGTAAGTGGGCGCCAGAATGCAGATGTCGCCAACTGTTCGAAATCGGAAAAGCAAAACCAAGGTAAAATAAAACAAAAGAATTGGAAAAACAAAAAAAGAGAATAAATGCAGCAAGCTGGTGGGTGGTAACCCGCAGACCGGGGATAGAGCCCTGGGGGAGTCCGTCACACTATCCCCTCCCTCTAGAAGGCAACGTCCCGGCTGCCAAAAGTCGTGAAAATAATGCTGAATCCTGTGAAGGACGGGACGGGGCCGATCGCTGGGAAGCAGGAGGAAAAAGGGAGAGGGGTATGATGTGGGTAGCAAGGGCTGAGGGCAACAGGGTTTTCCCACTGATGAACTACGGGGTATGTGTATTGAAGGGCTACGGAGCTGTGAACCGAGAGGGAACAGAGTTTGCCTACTAATGAACTACAGGGTTAGGGACTGCAGGGGAACAGGGTTGTCCTACTGATAGACTACAGGGTTCCATTGGGCGAAAGGGTTCTGTGAGMAAAAATACAGGAAGGAAAATTAATTTGCAGTGTTCAGGAGGTTTCTGGGGATCTCGAAGTGAATGGGGTTGGGGGGGAAACCGCAGGTTCTGGGAAATGATCTGGATGAGAGTCTTGAAGCAGGTCTTGAAGTCACAATAAACCAGTCTTCAGCAGGCTTGCGATGTGTGGTAGCAAGGGTTCCAGCCTGAAAGAAGTAGTGTAGCAGTCCWATAGATGAAGTTCCAAGTGCCAGGGTGCGTCCCGTACACGATCCTGATGATTAAGTCTGATCTGGATAGCAGGTCACAGACTGGGCCTGGTGTCCACATCAAGAGTGCTGCTCCAGAAGTCTGCAAATCCAGRTGCCGGCCACTGGGACAGCRTGGTGGCCAACCAGCTGCTTAATCTCCTCAAACTGTGCTGCAGCAGGCCATCGTCCTCGTGTGCTTGCCATTAGATCCTTTATCGCTGGCGATGCGCAGGAGCCACAGGTAAGGCTTGGACAAGAGAGACAGAGGATGTGGCAGAGGACAGATTGGGGGATGAGATGAAGGCAAGAGCGGATTAGACAGAGCGAGGTCGAGGGGCAGGGATTTTGCTGGGTGCAGGGGGTGTGTCTAGAGCAACGAGGCACGGTTTATGCAGGGTATATGGGTGTTATACGTAGTATATAGCTAGGATATATGGTGAGCACGATCATAGGCGCAAACAAGTTTCATGCCATTCTTGAGATTATCGAGGGGTTCCCATTTGACTTTGTATTCAGTAATGAAACAACATTCACCAGTTCGCGGTAGCGAATGCAGATCCCAGGGCTCGATCCCTAGATCCCCATCTTACCTGTGTACAGTATCAGTGTCAACCCGTAGACTTGAACCTGCGACCTGCAGGAACGCCAGTGGTAGGCAATTTGTCGTAGGTCACAGGGTAGAAGGGAATCGAACTGTAGACCTATAGACTAGGGGTCTAGACAGTTCCGAAGTCGTAGCTGTAGGCTGCCTGAGGAGTCAAGGTCGTAGCTGCTACTTACCTGAAAGGGCCAAGTCGTAGCTGCTACAGTACCGAAAGGCTAAGTTAGACGCTTCTAGAAGTGGCCTTTCGGAGTTGGCCTTCATTCAACAGAGGCAAGTGGTCAAGTGGTGGTAGACCACTTTGCTGAGTCAATAGTCCCAGTTAGTCAGTCCGGTCCTGTCCAGCAAGTACCGTCTGGGACTGTGTGCACATCGTGGGCCAAGGGGTATGGGGCAGACCAACGCAGCGCAGAAGTATAAATCAAGAGGCTGCGTCCAGCCATTCACTCATTCCTGCGGATGCCATGCGGAAGCGCTGCCTCAGCAGCTTGTGCGAGGAGGTCTGCAGTGTGCCCGAAGACGAAGTGGGCAGAGAGGTGTAGTGTAGCGATAGGGTAGTGGCAGCTAGCGCTGCCATAGCTGTAGTATAGTGTGTGTTGTGTATAAACACTGAGTGTTGCGTGTGGGACATCCAGGGTGATCTCGGGTGTGAACAGTGAGTTGTGTGGGCGCACAGTCGCCATAGCCAGAGGAAAGAGAACTCTTATCTGGTTACGATATTTTCGAGTACTGTGTGGGCGCATGTCGCCAGTTTGCTGTATCGCTGTTTGCATGCACGTCGAAGTGTGACTAAGTCGAGTCTGATTGCACTGGTATCGGAGCAGGTACCCGCTGTTCCATGCGCCGTCGCGTGTAGGTTGAGGCGCCATAGCTGAGGTGGCCGCTGGAGGAGGAAGTCCGCCATACCGGACCTTCGGTGAGAGGAGCTGCTGCGCGCCTGCATCAAGAGGAACACGACGAAGAGGAAGATTGAGAGAGAGAGAGAGAGAGAGAGAGATGAGTGATACAAGATTGGTTACTTACCTGCTGCGCTGAAGATACCGCTACGGAGAGAGAGAGAGAGAGAGATGAGCGATCCAAGATTGGCTGTCACTTACCTGTGAGCCGCGCTGCGCAGTCCGGTGGAGAAGGAAGACAGCGGCCATAGCCGCGGAGCTGCAACGCAGAGTACCGGGGGAGAGAGAAAGGGAGGACAGAGAAGGAGGGACTGAGGAGAGAGAAGAAGAAGTGTGGAAGGAGGAGA